GGACTCACTTTTTAAGTCAACATTACACCTTTACAGTAACAGCAGCAATCCCATGCCAGACACAGGGTTCCGCAGAACCCCTTATGAATATTTAAAGCTAAAAATGGATAAAAAAAAATGTGTTGCATGAAAAACAGCCTGAAAAATAACAAACTTGCAAGAGCATAATGAGTATGTTTAAGTTGTTTATCTTTATTCCAGTTACCAAAGGAAGCCCTGGTGGCCAGTTTACCTTGTTTAATGAAATTATTAAAAGCTACAAGCTTAGTAGTCCATAGTTATGCAGCACACACAATAGAAAGATTATTAATGGTACGAACACAGGATGGCAAAACAGCAGCGTAAGCAATATTTGAGATTTATATTTTTATATAAACAAGAAGGTTGCATCCTTAGTAAATTAAACAGGATGCTAGACATTTCAGCAATAAAAAAAAACTAACATGTATGAACTACATATTTGTTCACTAACAACATTGCAGTTAATTGGTGTAATATTACCCTTATCTCAAAAAGGTGGAAGTGTAAAGATATGTCCATTCATCACACTTTCAAATATTACGACATAGAAAGTTCTAATCTTGTTCCTTTCGGAATTATAGAGAAACAACTGTTAGATGATGAATTTTGATCTTAAATTTTTATTTAATGTTAATGCTAAACGTTAAATTGGCAAGTCAAAAATATCGAAATTTTGAATACATGGCCATGACACAGTTTTATAAAAAATTTGAAAGTATGATTTCGAATAGGTTCAAGGATGACAAAGTTTAGGAATTTAAGACTTTTTATGCCTTTGCCGTAGCGGATGGGGCATTAAGTTTTACCCTTGTCCATCTGTACGTCTGTCCTTACGCCCCAAAATTGGATTCCGTTCATTAACTTTAGTTTGCCTCAATCAAATGTTATGAAACTTATACACAATGCTTATTTCCACAAAACACAGATCAAGTATGAATTATGGTGGTGTCACTTTTACTGTTCTAGAGTTGTGCCCCTTTACAAATAGAAAAATTGCTGAATTTTTCGTTTCCGTTCTCTTTCTTAAGTTTGCCTCAATCAAATGTTATGAAACGTATACACAATGCTTATTACCACAAAACTCAGATCAAGTACAAATTTTGGTTGAGTCACTTTTACAGTTCTTGAGTTAAATCCCTTTTTAACGATATATGCAAGTGGGGGCATCATCTGTGTCCCATGGACACATTCCCCATTTATTTTTATTTTTTATGGTAAATATGTTTTACATTTTGTTAATTTCAGAATATCATTAGCAGACATACAGCCATTGTCAACAGATTTGATATCAGGGTTAATAGAAGCACTAAATCATCCTGGATCAGCAGAAAATGAATATATTATGAAAGGTATAAATACTTGATTGTATAATATGAAAGCAGAAAAACAAAAGAGTTGAATTATAACTGCAACATATTGCACAACCACTTAAAGGGACTATTTTTTTTTTTGATTGACCATAAGTCCATGAAGATTAAAGGGACTTACTTGCAAATAAAAAAAAGATAAACAATGGCACCTCTTTTATTTATTCACAGTGCACAATTAAAACATAAATTAATTTATTTTAAGCATAAGTGCCATCTTATGATGTTGATATGAAATGTGTACTTAAGTATTTTTATTATACAACACTATAGTACAGTTTTTTTCGTAATTTTACTGATAATTGGACTTTGTTTTGGTGCAATCAATATTACACTTTTACTTTGACAGCAACAATAGCAGGCGAGACACTAGAGATCAGTGAAACCATTTATGAATTTGAATAGACATCAAGTGTCATGAGGAATCATAGAGAAATTGAAATTTGGTTTAAATTTGGTGTTAGTCACATCCTTATGAGTTCTGTTTATCTAGTATGATTATTTTATGTATTTTCAGCTTTGATGAGAAGTATGTCTGCATTACAGGAACATATTTTAACTGTTATACAGCAAGTCATGGGAGTATTAACACAAAAGTTAATACAAGTTAGTAAAGTAAGTATGTAGTTAATTCTCATTAACAAACAACAGTTCAGAATTCTTGATGATTTCATAATATTTTTTAAAGCTGAACAATCTGCAAGTTTTATATATATACCATGCATGCGAAACATTTGACTAGTAACATTTTATTCAGTATTGCTTTACTGACATTTAAAAGCTTTACAGAGCAAAATACCATCAACTGAGGGAAAACAAATTCGTCGCTATTCTTGCTAACATTAAATTAATTGTACTTGTTAAATTTGGCAGGAAATTCATCATTTGTACTTACTAATATTGTATCATGACAAAGACTGAATCTATGTTTGTGTAATGTTAAAACTATACAAAGGTAAATGCCACATTATATCTATTAGTGCTGAAAGTGGTGTTAATCACCAACAATCAATCAATTATAATGTTGATAAGTTACAACAGTTACCTGTTTATAACACAAAATTTTCTGTATTGTCAATCCATTCTGATCTTTCTTTTTGTTCACAAGGGACATGGTTTATGATTAGCCAGGATATTTTACTCCAGTATAATATAGACTAATGTCTTTTTATTGTTATCACATAATACTTTTCAAAAGGTAATATTTCTTATTTTGAATACATGATTAAAGTTAGGAGGATGGAAGAAACATTGTTACACGTTGTTAAGGCTAAGTGAATTATAATTTTCTCTATCATGCCAAACATTACTAAATTCAAATTCTTTGAATCATCTTTTAATGTACTTGTTGATATTGCATATGACTTTATTTGTAAATTTTTCTATTTCCAGAACCCCAGCAAGCCACAATTTAATCATTATTTATTTGAGTGTCTATGTATAGGCATTAGAACAACATGTAAACACCAGCCTCAAGCTATATTTACATTTGAAGAAGCCTTATTTAAGCCTTTTACAGATATACTGCAGGCAGATGTTCAAGGTAAGCAACACATTAACCATAGAGCTAATTTCCTAATGCTTGTAGATTAAGATTTTGGTTGGCTTGCTTGCTTTGTTGTATAAACGTTTGTAATTAAGATTGACATCTGCAAACAATATAGATTGGGCGGAGTTAAACCTTACTAACATTGTCTTGTAATGTTTACATGCACAATTGGGTGTTCCTAACCACCAGGATATCATCCAATCAAATTTAGGTATAATGTATACAGGTTTAACTCTGCCTATTTTATATTGTTTGCAGATGTCAATCTTAATCACTGCTTGAGCAAAGTTAATACAAATAAAGCAAGCAGACCAACCAAAGTCTTAATCTACAAGCATTAGGAAATAGCTCTAACACACTTGTATATACAGTGTCATTGACACTGTGGGGGGAATTGTTGATTTTTCTCCTGCTGCCATGAACTCAAATAACAATGCAATAACTTAACAGGTTTATTTGCAGAATTTTTATTTTATATGAATAAATGCAGATGGGGGGTTAGTGTCAATTAGACTGCAATACAACAACACAAAAAACTGAAAGACATCTACAGTTGAGTTTTAATCTTTTACAAAACAGTTTAATTATTCTTTGGTTTAAAATGGATTTTCTGGGTTTGGGTCTATAAATTAGTCCCATAATTATCTCGGGGGAAAAATGTGTTATGCAAACAAATTGATTGACTTAAAATTAATTGAGGAATCTGATTTTGATGCACAATAAAAATGTACAATTTCAATATTTGAATTAGTATTTCGATTAATTAGATAGTTTTATTTTCCTTCCAAATGTCTTCTACTTCGAACTTCGACACATCAGGGTAAATTTATGTTCATTTTTCTTCGGAATGTACTTGACTTAACAAAGTTTCAAATAAACTGAGTTGGACTTGCTTGGGTTAGAAAAGCATTGAACAAATGGGAATTTTACCAGGACTGACTAGATAGTTTGACTTATCCAAATTTTCAACACAATGAGGTTTGACTGTAAAAGAAAACTAATCAGCAGCTGGAAATCATGAATACAACATAATTGATTTCCAGCTCCTCATGGTAATAAAAGAAGGATTTTCCTTTTCACTTTTTTAAGTTTTTTTTTCATTTCCAGAATTTATTCCATATGTGTTCCAAATCCTCTCCTTATTGATTGACTACCACACTAGTGGGACAGTTCCTGATACATACATGGCATTGTTTCCACACCTGTTAGCTCCAGCTCTGTGGGAAAGACCAGGAAATATACCACCTCTAGTCAGATTAATACAAGCTTACATTGAAAAGGGTGCAAAACAAATCCCTGTCGAAAATGTGGTATGTATAAATTATATTCCCAAAGATATCATCTGAACAAACGCATGGATAAATACCTAATTTTGAACATTTGTGACATTTTATTACAGTTTACCATTATTTTCAAAGATACACATACAGTTTAGTACATATCATTTTCCATTATCAGTCCTGAAGATAGGGACTCTGTGGGATTTATATAGAAGTATTTCATAATTAATATCAACGTATTATTTGAATGTACCCTATTGCAGAAGAAATTTAACGTACATTGTTTCAGACAATCATTTGACCTTTGACCCCTAGCACGTGTCGGCCTTTGATTACGATACAATTTTTTTCTGCCAAATTTCTATCCTTAATGCAAAACTGAATGTACATGTACAAAATGTGTAAAAACGTGTATCACTTGAATACATTGACTTTAAAACTATTTTTCTGTGTACTAATATCTTATGTTGTGGTCATCAGCTTTTTTAAATGATTAAAAAATGACATATAGAGAGATTATGATAATGAAATGAAAGATAAAAGGCCATTGTAAAAAACTTGAACATATTTAGCAGGACAGTGGTTGTTTCACTACTTAAACAGTTAAAGTATGGTAAATGATTGTAACTGTTTGGGTTGAAATAAAACAATTCTAATCATTATAAAACTTGAGAACATACAGGGGCAGGTATTACAGCAGTGAAAAAGGGAAGTAATTCAATATAAACGCAATTCATCATGAATGCCTTGTTTGCCTAGAACAGATAAAATCATACTAAAATCTCAGACTTAAATGCTTTTATTTTGGTTTTTTGTTGGCTTTATACAACATGTACAAAGAAATGACAAAATAATTTTTTTCAATGTTCTACATTTAGTCTCAATAAAAAAGTTCCACCATCAAATAGCTAGCCTGCTAGGTCCATCTTATTGCTCAGCAGCACCACCTGAAAGTATAAAATAGTACAAATAATTACCATTTGTTCTATACTTATATATTTTTAACAAACACATACACTTTTTATCATTTTATACATCATATCTTTTAAAACAGGAAAATTTATCTTGCAAAAATTATACATTGCTGTCCATTGGCAAATATTTCATGTATATTCAGGAGGATCAAAGGATATATAAAAATGTTCTTGTTTATTTCTGATAAATACAAAATTTGAAAACAATTTCCAATATTGTTTTCTGTTGTTGACTTATATAATGTAAATTTGTCAACATTACCATGTAATTAATTCAAATCTATAAATCTTGAAAAAAAATATTATGAAAACTGCACAACAAACTAGCTGAGTTTCATTCAAGACATAAACATCAACATAGAAACACTCAAAAATAAATACTAAAAGATTTTATTGAAATGTTTAGAATAAAATATTTTAAGCAAAGTGTTTTTTCAGTAATTTTCTGAAAAATACAATGTATTCTATTAAAAGTAATATAAGCTGATGGTAATAAATTATTCTAAACTTTCAGAAACTTTATTTTTATGAACAAAATGATTTACCAAAATCATGTAAATCCTCAGCGATAGTATGTTCCAAGATCTGAGTAGGAACTGCTGCACTACCTAGTTTTTTAATCAATGTTTTCAAGTTTTTTGTCAACTGGGAAATAGTGACTGGCTTTTTATTCACCTGAGAAACTTGGAACAAGGTTTTCTCACCAGGTTGTTCTAATACAAGTTGCCTAAATTTTATTTGAGTTTTTAAAATTTCTCTTTTGTTCTTTAAAAATTTAATTTTTGTCAGTTCTTGATCGACTTTTCTTGCATTGTCCCAAAGTCCTAATTTTATAATGTGTTCTACAAGTTTCTTTTTTTCATTACATTTCTTTAACAGAAGTTTTCTTGCTTTCTCTTCTTTCTCTCGACTTATTCTTTCAAGTTCATTTTTTAAATCGGACAGTCTTTGTTTTTCAGTTATTTTCATTTCTTTAATTTTCAATTTTGAAGTATTGATAAGTTCCTGGACATGTTGTTCGGTCTGCTGATTTAGCCATGCACCCGTTTTATTTACATTGTAAACTATGTGCGCCTCATTTGCAAGTCGAGATGCATTGGGCCTGTGTTTAATTAACCAATCTAAATGACCAAAAATAAATTCTGGTAATTTATTATGTGGCAAGACAGAATTGAAAGTTGTGCTGGAATCAACACCATATTTGGTATGTTGGCCATCTTCTAGATGATCTTTAACTTTTTGTGACAAAGCCTTGCTAGTAGCAGAACACATCTGTATCAAAAAAGCAGCGCATGTTTCATCATTGTGATCGCGAACAAGAGATGCCCAAATGTCATCTTTTTTCACATCAACAGATGGAAATGGTATGAGTTCTCCTGTCATGAACAATTTAACTTTCTCAACTTCAGTTGAAATATCTTCAAGAAATTTAACTAAATGTTGGTACTTCTGGTTCATGTGCAATATATGTATATCCCCTTCAAGTATTTTCCACAATGGGGAGGTAATGAATTTATTGAAAAGCCCAAGAGCGCGACATCCTACCATTATTGTGTCATTCTGCACACAAGAGAGTACGGCTTTTAGCAGCTGATTCAGTTTACCTGGCGTTCCTTCGCCTTTAACATTTTCCAAGAAATTAATGATATGATTTCTCAAGTGGTATATGGCTCCTGCATTGTGGAAGACAACATTAAAGCGGTTTCCGAGAAAAGGTTTGATTTCATACTTATTGATATGTTGACGTTGAAGGTAGGTTTTAAATTCCAAATATGAGCCGTTTTTTTCATCTGCGCCTGATGCTAATGCTTTACTTGTAATCCTAACAGCATTTAAAACGGAGGACTCGCCTTTAAGACTTATTTCAGGATGTTCAGTACCTTCTGGGGGATCTTTGTGGAAATTATTGAACACGCTGTTCATTAATTCCGCAATATTAACTAGGAGATGTAAACCGCAGAAGAAATTGTACATTTTGCTTAGCAACATTTGGTCAGGTTCTTGCAACAGGTGATAATTTTCAAGATGTTCTTGTAACATGGATGATCTATAAGTTTCTAGGAGTTGGTTGAATGATACCTGGGTAGCAGCTCTATCTGACATGGTACATTTTATATTTTGAAGAATTTTGATAGACAATTGATTATTTACTTCATTAGCTGTCACCTGATTATATCGCAACTCAATATCACCTAAGATTTGCTTAAATACATCGAGTTGTGTTTGTGCAGCCTTGTTTGACATTTGACGTAACCCTAAAAGAAATGGCTTCTTGTCCTCATTTGTCGTGACAAATACCCCATATGGTTGGCCGTTTTTCTTTGTTTCGTCTGTATATAAAGTCTGGTTTTCCTGTTCAGAGCATACAATTGCTGCATGAGCCTGACTTACAAACAGTCTTGTTGCACTGATAGTTGAGACATAGTCCTTCTTTGGAAAAATGTTATTCCTACAGTCAACATTACATAGTTTCATGACACTTGACATGACACAAGATACTTTCTCAAAGGCGACATTTGCATTCAACAATTCCATGATGCATAAATTAGTATCTGTTGAAAAAGTGTATTTCCCATTAGGTGCCGGTACAGTCGAGTCTACCTGTTTTTTTTCATTCAAATTATCCAACACGAAATGCAACTCATCTTTAGTTTTATTTATTTCATGTTTGTTTGCCTTTTGTTCCTGTCTCATATTAAGTATCTGGTCTTGCAACATTTTTACTTCAGTCTCATGTTTTGCTTGTAAATGATCTTTTATGTATCTTGTTTTTTGTGCAATGTTTTCCCAATATCTACATTTCTCTATTGTTCTTTTCTTTTCCATCCGTGTTATATTATTCATATATCTGATCCGTACTTTTTCATTTTGTAAACATTTTTGCATTGCTTTCATACTTGTTTCTGCATGTTTAGCTGAATTCTTCAGTATTTTGTTTGACTTTAGTAATTTAAATTCTGATTTTGATCTGTTTGCAAAACTATGCTTTAAATCAAGCAATTTTCTTTTCATACTGAACATATTCTGAATATTGTTTCTGTAAGATTTCTGTAGTAGAGTGTTTTGTTTCATTAAGCTGTTATACCTGTTGACTTGTTTTGTCAATTCTGTCTTTAATAGTTTAGTTTCAGAGACTTTGTGTGGTTGCTCATTTGGATATTGCAAAAACTTGCCATGAAGAAATTTGCCAAGTTTATCTTTCCCCAAACTACTTGCTGATTTTTGCAATTTTTTTTCTTTAATTCTAATATTTTTTATAGATTTGTTCATTTTTGTTATACTGTTTTTGGACATGTCCAGATCTATACCAAGAAGTTGACAACACCAAACATATACAAACTTGTTTGTAACGCTCAGTGACTCCTTAAGTTTATTCAATTCAAGAACCATGCCATTAGTAAGGCACTGTCCTTGAGATAAAGAGCTAAAAATTATCAAATGTGCAGCTATTCCTAAACAGAACTTGTACCCAAGTGCTTGTAGTTGCGGATACATATTTCTAAAATCAAGAAGAAGAGGATGTTCCACTACATGTACGATACATATTTTACTACATGACATTATTTTAAATTGCATTTTTTATTGTACCACATTCATGAAATAAAGGACAACAAACTGCATTAAACATTAACTCCAAAGAGATGAAAATAGTTTCCTTTTTTTCTTTAGATTCAACTCATTGAATTAATTTGTTAAAAACTGTTCTAAAGGATTATTTCACTCCTACAGAAGACTGCAAATATTGTTGAATTTTGGCCATTCGCTTTCAAAGATAAATTTCTGGGTTGTAGCAGTTGTCAATATTTTATAAGACCTTCTATCATTAAAATGTTAAAATACTACAAATAATTCAGACATTTTAAAATAATATTTACCTTGTAGAATTATGAATCTTTTGATTTACGTCTTCACCTTTGTTATCTGAAAGTAAAATTACAGCTCACTACATATTGCATATACATATATATACCTAGCTTTTACCAAAAATAAGTGTGTGTGCTTATGTGGATTTTAGGTGGTTAGCCTGATGAATTGGTCCAATCAAAACAGTGTGTGTCATTTAATAAACTAACTGCTATAATATTAATAAATAAAAGATTGATTGAATAATTGATTGTTGCATGCATCAAGTCTAGTGTCAATTATTTCATTTATATCCAGGACTACAAACCAGTTGCAATGTGAAAATTATACTCCTGCCATAAGTATTTGGTAAACAGGAAGTTTATGAGAACTAAAAATACATCACACGGTATAGCATGCTCATACATGTATGTAGTCTTATTCCAGATTTCCGAAAGCCTTGTTTTTAATTTTATACATAGCATTAGGTGATGGATACATAAGTAATTGTTAAACAGAAGTTGATAAGCGATTAATCTTAAAATGTTGGATAAAAGCCAAAATGTTTCCTTGTTAGAGACCAACAACAGAAATGTGATGAGTTATTGCAAGGATTCTTTAATATTCAAAAAGCAAATCAATTTCCATTCAATGCATTATATTTAAAGTCTCCATTCCAACTGGATGTGACTGTGTATTTATACATCCAACACAGTCAAAAAGACACCTCACTTTTTATAGAGGGTTTTCCTAATGAAACGGTAGAAGTCTAGGGATTACAATATTTTAATGCCCCAGTTAACCCTTAGGTCATGAACAAAAATCAAAGTCTTACCTCACTGCATAGGTCATTCATATATTGAAAGTTCTGATTACTCTATATATCTCGATCATTTCAACATGTGACCTGCGAACATAACAGTAAATGTATAATAAAGTAATTTACCCTTATTCAAAGAAGAAATACAGTTTGTGTATTGCATGATTTTTTTCACATATGTGGCATTTAACTGCTTTGCTCATTTACAGACGTTATTTCAAGTAGTTGTATTTACTAGAAGGGTTGCTGCTTTTAGTTAACTAGTTTAAAATTTCAGTGGTTGTGCTTTAATAATAATTTTATGCAACAGAAGTAATAAATTTTTCAGAAATTAACATATGCAATTTTGATAATACATGTTGTAGCATTTTTTTTTTATTTCAAAACAGATTCAATCAGAGACATATTGTATTATATGTCTTTGATTCAATTAAGTATTGCATTTGTTTCTTACATTCCTTCTGTTAGTTGAACTAAATGTACATAATACAGTACATCGGGTATCAAATAATGTCGGTTAAAAGCAAACTAGAGTTTATGTTTTGTCCTTTTTTGAATACTTAGCCGACTCTAAATGAAGCGTACTTATTATTTATTATCCCGCATAGTGCCTCAAATAGTTTTACCTGGAAAGGGAATTAACCCATATTTAAATTACAAAACACCAGAAATTCTATCGATATTATCAAATCCATCCAATGTGAAGAGTAATACTATAGTTTCTTCGTGTTTGACGACGAAATTGAAACACAATATTAAATAAAAATGATTTTTAAACACCGATATCAAACTGGTGAACTAGGAAGACACTTCTACGAAGCGCCGATTTCATTGTTTATGCTGATCTGAATCTACGGAGAAAAACATTTCATGTGCATGTGTGTAACGTCGTGAACGTTCACGGCTATTTTTATTCTCCTTTTCTTAGACGAAACATACCATCTTTACCAGGATCGCGCCTTGCACACGTAGAACAGATCAACATATATCCGACATGATTTTATGAAGAAAATATTCTAGATTTAGGAAAAGTATGGATCCCCCGGTTATTTTTAGAAATAACATTTATTTTTGGCAAAAAACCTAAAAAAATGTGTTTAATATCAATAATTTCCTACCTTCTTCTACACTTTTACACGAGATACTTACAAAATTAGATTCCTGGATTGTGCCTGCATTTGCGTGTGAATTTTCGTCGTCTGTTTACCTTTCTATAAATAGCGCGAGGAACGGAAAGGGTATGCATTTGTCTGTCAAGATAGCTGAAAATTGACGTTTACGGCAACTCTTATCATAGTTCAAAGTTTTGCTGCAAGCTTATATAACACGTTTAAATATAAGATTATTACTGAAATTAAAAGCGCAGATACCGTAATTTCTCAAGCTATTTTTATTTTTTTTTCAACAGTGAGGGAAAAGTTGTTTTATTTTCAGTTACAAAAACGTTACAAATGCAAAAAATACATTGCGGCAGATATAGGTTTTTTAACGTGACGTTCCAACAGAGTCCCTACTGAAGATATCACCCTAAGGTGTCAGTCAGGGGCCTGATAGAACTCGAGGAATAATAGCAAGACTGCTGTATTCATATGTTGTAATATCTTTATGACAAACTATTTTGCCTTCAATGCATTTGGTTTTACCATGTGTACTTACTGTTGATCTACATTAAAAGCATAGCCTAGTTATTAGATATAAACTACTTCAAACCAGTACCAGTTCACATACATATAACAAAATCATGTCATGAAATGGATATGGTTGAAATTTGCACAAGCTGCAACAAGAATTTAATTTCTTGACGAAATGATTTCACCTTGCAGCTCGGTTTAAAATAATTGGACATAATTTGAAGTTATTCATTTTCAAGTACTTTGGATTCATTTTAATCGAACAAAATTCAAATTTTATATATGCTTGTATGAGACTTACGCAAAACCATAAAAATGAAACATATGAAATCAAAAATGCATGAAGATATGATTTTTCTTCAATCCACTTAAATTGGTATCCATTAAAATTTATGAATTGACAGCATTTAAAATTGATTGTTTAATAATGCTTTTAGATAACCATTGTGTTTGTTGGAATAGAACTTGTATTGGTACCTATTTATCTTTTGCAGAATGGCCTGCTTGGAGTCTTTCAAAAATTAATTGCATCTAAAGCAAATGATCATGAAGGATTCTATCTACTGAATTCCATTATACAACATATGCCAAAGTAAGTATATTCTTGGAAGTTTTGTGATAGTACTTTTGCCTTAAAAGGACGGGTTGTCAAATCAAACTCGATTGGCACAGATTATGTAGGAGTAAAAGCAGACAGGTTAGCTGAAAATTGGCTCAAAGTTAAAATAATATGTATGGATTTGGTAACTTTCCTTGTGAGCTAGGATGTTAAAAAGCCAGACTTTGCATGTTAAAATACAAAGCAAGATATATTCCAATGGCAACATTTTATTATCCTGAATATGTATGCAATATTTGTCACTGTGTGTAAAGCACCCACCAATTTAGTCTCATGGTAGCAAGTTTGCTATATTTGTGATTTACATTTGATTATTAATAGTATTTATTAGTAAATAAGGAAATAAACCTAGAATACTTGTTATTTACAGGGAGGTTGTGAGTCAGTACGTCAAAAATATATTTATCCTGTTATTTCAACGATTATCAAGTTCAAAAACAACGAAGTATATCAAAAGTAAGTATATAAACAAGTCTAAATTGAAAACAACGTTCATACCTATGATTGCGTTGGATAAAAACCGCAATTTTTTATATGTGTGCATGCAAAACAAATTTCTTGTTAGAGGGGTCTAAATACAGCACAAACAACATTTTCCAAAAGACCAAAAAAGTGAAAAAGTATATTTTAACAAAACGCATTTATATGTATATATGAAGCTGCAATAAGTATGGGGTTATCAGTTGTCCATCAAATGACAACTCTTATTTGTTTAATGTTACATTTAATTTACAGAAATTGTTGAAATTTTAACTGCAAAATGTTGATTCTTTCTCTTTTGTGTAATTCTTTGAAATACTAGTATAGTTTTCGGTTTAATAGTTGCATTTATTGTTAAGCACATCACATCTTGCATGGATAGATTGGCATAGAAACTTCACATGTTTTTGCGCATATACTTGTTGAGGGGTGAAAATCACATTCAAGTTGTGCCATCTCTTAGAAATGTAAATTATGGAACTTGTTAATTAAATTTTCAGGTTTACTTCTGTTTTTCTGCCTGTTTGCTATTCAGTATGGTGCAGATGCACTCATCCAGAATGTTGATGGAATTCAGGCTAAGTAAGTTAATTATAATTTTTACGGTATTCTTAAATATCCAGCATATTTTTGCAAGCAAACAAAAAAACATGATTTCATTATGAAGTAAATTTAAGTTTAAATCAACTTTTTATACTGTAATTTTTATACGACCGCAAAAATTAAAAATTTTTTGGTCGTATATTGGTATGACGTTGGCGTCGTCGTCGTCGTCGTCGTCGTCGTCGTCGTCGTCGTCGTCGTCGTCGTCGTCGTCGTCCGGCGTCGTCCGAAGACACATTGGTTTTCGCACTCTAACTTTAGCTTAAGTGAATGGATCTCCATGAAATTTCACCATAAGGTTCAATACCACAAAAGGAAGGTTGGGATTGATTTTGGGGGTTATGGTACCAACAGTTAAGGAATTAGGGGCCAAAAAGGGGCCAAAAATAAGCATTTTTGTAACTTTCAGACAATAACTTGTGTGTAAGTGTATGGATCTCTCTGACATTGTACCACAAGGTTCCATATCACAAAGGGAAGGCTGTAATTGATTTTGGGGGTAATTGCCTCAAAATATTAGGAATTAGGGGCCAAAAAAGGGGCAAAAAACAAGCATTTTTCTAGTTTCATGACAATAACTTGTGTGTAAGTGTTTGGATATTTCTGAAATTGTACTACAAGGTTCCATATCACAAAGGGAAAGCTGGAATTGAGTTTGGGGGTAATTGCCCGAAACGTTTAGGAATTGGGGGCCAAAAAGGGGCCAAAAATAAGCATTTTTCTAGTTTCCAGACAATAACTTGTGTTCAAGTGTATGGATCTCTCTGAAATTGTACTGCAAGGTACCATACCACAAAGGGAAGGCTGGGATTGAGTTTGGGGGTGATGAATCATAAGGGGGTTCAAAAAATTTGGGGGGGGGGGTTTTCTTTTTTTCCTTTTTTTTTTCTTTTAAAATTTTCCATTTTAAGTTGGTTATTTCTGATTTATATTTAAAAGCAAATAATAATGATATGGTAGGAGATACACACCAAACAGGATGTGTAAATTATTATATAATAAGTATTGTGCAATAGCAAGCAATTTTCAATTGCACAGTATTGCACAATAGCAAGAAATCTTCAATTGCACAGTATTGCGCAATAGCAAGAAATCTTCAATTTAACAGTATTGCGCAATAGCAAGAAATATCCAATAGCACAATATTGCGCAATAGCAAGAAATTGTCAATTGTACAGTATTGCGCAATAGCAAGAAATATTCAATTGCACAGTATTGTGCAAAAGAAGATACTTCTATAAATTGCTTATTTCTTGATCAATTTCAATGGGGTTTTATTCTTGAATTCTTGGGGTTCTTTAATATGCTGAATCTAACCGTGTATTAAGTTTTTGGATTTTGGGCCCCGTTTTTAAATTGGTCCACATTGAGGTCCAAAGGGTCCAAAATTAAACTTTGTTTGATTTCATAAAAAATTGAATTATTGGGGTTCTTTGATATGCCGAATCTAACCGTGTATTTAGATTTTTAATTTTGGGTCCCGTTTTTTAAATTTGTCTACATTAAGGTCCAAAGGGTCCAAAATTAAACTTAGTTTGATTTTAACAAAAATTGAATTCTTAGGGTTCTTTGATATGCTGAATCTAAACATGTGTTTAGATTTTTGATTATGGGCCCATTTTTCAAGTTGGTCCAAATCGGGGTCCAAAATTAAACTTTGTTTGATTTCAACAAAAATTGAATATATGGGGTTCTTTGATATGCTGAATCTAAACATGTATTTAGATTTTAGATTTTTGGCCCAGTTTTCAAGTTGGTCCAAATTGGGGTCCAAAATTAAACTTTGTTTGATTTCAACAAAAATTGAATATATGGGGTTCTTTGATATGCTGAATCTTACCATGTATTTAGATTTTTTATTTGTGGGCCCGCTATCAAATTGGTTCATATTGAGGTCAAAAGGGTCCAAAATTAAACTTTGTTTGATTTCATCAAAAATTGAATTATTGGGGTTCTTTGATATGCCAAATCTAACCGTGTATTTAGATTTTTAATTTTGGGTCCTGTTTTTTAAATTGGTCTACATTAAGGTCCAAAGGGTCCAAAATTAAACTTAGTTTGATTTTAACAAAAATTGAATATATGGGGTTCTTTGATATGCTTAATCTAAACATGTATTTAGATTTTTGGTTTTGGGCCCAGTTTTCAAGTTGGTCCAAGTTGGGGTCCAAAATTAAACTTTGTTTGATTTCAACAAAAATTGAATATATGGGGTTCTTTGATATGCTGAATCTAAACATGTATTTAGATTTTTGGATTTTTGGCCCAGTTTTCAAGATGGTCCAAATTGGGGTCCAAAATTAAACTTTGTTTGATTTCAACAAAAATTGAATATATGGGGTTCTTTGATATGCTAAATCTTACCATGTATTTAGATTTTTTATTTGTGGGCCCGCTATCAAATTGGTTCATATTGAGGTCAAAAGGGTCCAAAATTAAACTTTGTTTGATTTCATCAAAAAATGAATTATTGGGGTTCTTTGATATGCCAAATCTAACTGTGTTTTTAGATTTTTAATTTAGGGTCCCGTTTTTTAAATTTGTCTACATTAAGGTCCAAAGGGTCCAAAATTAATCTTAGTTTGATTTTAACAAAAATTGAATTCTTCGGGTACTTTGATATGCTGAATCTAAACATGTGTTTAGATTTTTGATTATGGGACCAGTTTTCAAGTTTGTCCAAGTTGGGGTCCAAAATTAAACTTTGTTTGATTTCAACAAAAATTAAATATATGGGGTTCTTTGATATGCTGAATCTAACCATGTATTTTGATTTTGGACATTGGACCATAATAGGTAAATTAAAAAAATTGAAGTTCTTAGACCACATTCTTTCTGTGTCAGAAACCTATGCTGTGTCAAATATTTAATCACAATCCAAATTCAGAGCTGTATCAAGCTTGAATGTTGTGTCCATACTTGCCCCAACTGTTCAGGGTTCGACCTCTGCTGTCGTATCAAGCTGCGCCCAGCGAAGCATTTTATTGATTTTTGGCCCAG